CACTGAAGATGACCCCACTTAGTCATAAAGGGCATTTTTGGTATATTCAATTCAATTCAATTCAATTCAATTCAATTCAAAATATGCTTTATTGTCATAAGTAAAAACACACTTGTTGACAAAGCTTGTTAAATTACATGAAAATAAATATATTAACTTCATTTAAAATTCAAAAAAGTTATACCTATTCAGTAAATCAAAACTCCAATGAAAAATATTCATCCAGGCTATAGAGTGGAGTTTGGACGAGTAGTGCTTTGACTTTAGTGCGGAACTTTTTATCACATGATATTTCTTTGATCTCGGTTGGAAGGTGATTGAATATTTTTATTCCATTATAAATGATCGAGTTCTTGACCATAGTGGTTCGGGGTCTTATCAACTTAATTTGACCATTCTGCCTTGTATTGTATCGTGACGAGACAAGTTGTAAGGCATATTTGTTTTTTTGAATTAGAGACGCTGTTTCTAATATGTATAAACAAACCACAGTTAAAATATTATAGTTTTTAAATAAGTCTCTACAGCTATCTCTAGATTTCGCCCAGCCTGAGGGCTCGTTTCTGCAAAACAGAACTCTTCTGGAATAAATGATCACTGCAGGCCCCCCAAAATGCTATTCCATATCTCAAGTGAGACTCAATTAAGGCAAAATATGCTGTTCTAGCAGATGAAGATCCTAATTCCGTGGCAATCTTTCTTACAACATTAGCATCCAGAAGCCAGTTTTTTACATAAACCTGTCACATGTTCTGTAAACAACAACTTATTATCTATGAATAAGCCTAGAAACCTAGTAGACAATTTATTTTCTATCACCTCACATCCAATATTCAAGTTGGGAATATTGCAATGGAAAGTCAGGATGTTGGTTTTCTTAATATTTAGAGAAAGTAGGTTTGATTCACACCAATCTTTGATAATCTTTATATCCTGCATTATATTTGATTCTAATATAGAGCTATTCTCTTCTTGCCAAAGGATCGTTGTGTCATCAGCAAATAATGTGATTTTACCGTTTATATTTAGAGAAGCCATATCGTTCACGTAGAGAAGGAAAAGGATTGGTCCAAGGACTGAGCCTTGTGGCACTCCGTGCTTTATGTTTGAGGCCTTTGAGACGCTGCTAGTTTTAACCGATTGTTGTCGATTGATGAGATAAGTCTCGAACCAGTGCAGACTTCTATTCATAAAACCATATCGCTTCAGTAAATTTCAGGATCCTTACCCAACGATTATCTAAGATACAAGGGTGTTTCCATTAGAAGTGGGTCACACTGTAGATCACCAACGTTGGCAACACTGCTGCACGAGCAAGGAATGCCATCTAGTCGGCGTTGGACAAGATTCGTCTGACGAGGACAGGTGTGGACGAATTGTTGGCCGATAACGATCGAGATCGTCGGAAATATGCGCTGCTTTGTAATGTGTAGAAAAAAAATGAGATCTGAAATTGCTGTGGATGTGTTAGAATGAGACAAGCTAACGATATTAATAACAATGGTACTGTGTACTGGACATGAGAAGAATCTTGTTCACTTGAACGTTCTGAAAACATAAGCAACAGTATTTTCTTTGGTAGAAAATCGTCACTCTGGAATTCTTTCATGAATAATAGATACTCTACTGAAGAATTTTAACTAGAAAAATATCACCATGCTAAACTTACGATAGAATGCATGGAACTTGAATGTAAACAAACATTCAATGTACTTTCCATTAGTTAGGAGATAATAGAATTGAATCGCCTATACGTCGAGCTCTCTCAGGGTTTGAAATATTTGCACTCAATGCCACCCTGTATATTGATATTTTCGAAAACTGACGGATATTTTGAAACATCTTACTTTACATAACCAGTTGCGTTGAGACTCAGTGTTGCCAGTACTGGTGATTTATAACCAGATCTGGTGATTTTCATGTCAATCTGGTTATTTTGTGATTATTTTTCATTCAACTGTCAAATCTGGTGATTTTTGATAATGTCAGGATGAATGTCTCTCAACACAGAAGATGACTATTATGTTTGACAGCAGTGTATAACTGAATAACTGAAATCGAGGAAAGATAGAAGAAGAGAAGTCTAACCTCAATTCACTAACCATAAACACCATAGACCCACAGAATTCAGAAAGTCGAACCCACAGGTTGTGTTTAGTGTGTTGTGTTCTAACCAACTTTTTGTGTTCTATGATGGTTTCAACCTACAAAACAAGTAAACAAGAAAACAAGTTTTAACCAAAGAAAATATACCAAATTACATTACTATTGAAATTGTAAAACCAAAATTTGGAACAAAAATAATTGGATATGAATTGCGGCCATAATATTCACGGTATGATTTCTAAACTGTACGAAGTTCCAAGTTTATTTATCGCTGTAATATTCCTAGAAGTAGATCACTCCCCTCTGGATTCAGAATCAACAGAGGAAACTCTGTTGTATTAGAATGACTGATTTTTCCGGAATATATTTTATTATTTTGTATATGTCTATCATTTCCTAGAAAACCCTTTGGTTTCATGATTTCCCTTTCACATTTCAAATTTCCTGAATTCTGGTGATTTTTTTTCAAATCTGGTGATTTTTGCTTCATTGATCTGGTGATTTAAATTTCTCATTCTCAACGGTTGAGTGGAGTATTACATAACTATAAAAAATGCCGACTTGCTCGATGGGTACACCCTTTGAAATTCTGGATCAAATCTAATTGGTCCAGTAAATGTATGATACATGTGAATATAAACCATGGAAGTTTCATTCAAATTGGCTTGAGCGTTTACAAGATATTAATAACAAACTTTTTTTTGTCAGGCTTTTGTCACCATACCTCTGAAATGCCCTGTATACCATACAATTATTGATTATTTATTTATAATACTCAAACAGCTCCAACCACAGAAAGCTTGAGAAATAATCAATCTCCTCCAATTATAATATGTTCTGTTATAGTTTTGCTTTCATGGTTTGTCTATAATTTCATAATAATGATAATCTAATCTAAAGACTAATCTACTGGATGAGATTGAGAGAAGACCCTGTTTCGATCTTGATTGAATATCCCCTTGAAACATCGTTATTTCTTATTTCATGAGCCAATGGTCCAGAAGATATTCGTGAAGAATGGGCATCAGTACTCGGATTGTTGATGGATTGGGGGATTTTATTGCCATCATCGCTGTCAAATCGAATCAAGTTTTTGCGCAAGAATTGGATGCGTCCAAATTAGGCGAAAATTCAAGTTGGCCAAAGATTAGTGACATATCAGGGTCCATGACACTTCGGATTCACTGATAAAAAATTCCAAGTGAATATATAATTCGTTGAAGATTCTGAGAAATCTGGAATAATTTGCATTCATCCTGGAATATCCAAAAAATTGAATCTTTGGATTAGTATAACCTTTTTCTGAATGCGATACATATCATCAATCGTAATATACACATGTGGAGAAAACATGGGCCCAACCTCCTAAGAGCACTGCTCCATTAAAACAACCACTGATGTTTCCTTTTACTGCATGAATAATTTGGAAGAGGACTGGTATAAAACTGATGTTGACGAACTCCATTACGAGCGCTAAAGTTGATACACTCCCCTCGTAAGGGTACCTGACGTGATTCAATACATTCACATATTACATGAATGTTGGTAAATTTTTCGACTTTGTGATGAATATTTTTGTAAATAATGAAGAAGTAGCAGAAATCTCGTTATTTGCATTGTTATTCGTTTTTACAAGTGGTCTTGTCTTGTCTTGTCCTCCATCATCTGATGATATAGGTTTGTTCTCGAGTAAGTATTTGACTCCACCGTTTTCTCGTTTTTTTTCTTCTAAAAATGGGTTTTGCCGTTGAATCTTGATCATGTAAGTCCTCTAAGGGGCACAGGACACCTTTACAATTAACCTGTTCCTTAACCGGTGCTCGGTGCTTTGCACAATAAGTTTATTCAAAGTTTTTTCATAATGTTTTTTTTCATTCCCACGACCTTTGATTTTTGAGGATTAAGGCTGTTGACGGACACATGACTGTCCGAAACATGGTCCCCTAAATAATCTTCCGATTATAAAACGTTGTAGAGATGATTTTGTGTTTTCTAACCCTTTCATTATCAATTATATCAAATTGAAAACTTCGTTCCATTCGATTTCTACTCGTGGGAGCAAGTATTGGATCTTTCTTTTATTTGATCCCTCTTATCCTGAAAATGATCGAACGGAACAAATAAATATCAAAAACTTGAGAATAGTGAATTTGGTCATAATGTTGATATTTTCTCTAGTTCATGGACAATCTCGGTCTTTTGAACTGTGATTGATCTCCTGGGTCATAATCAACTACATTTCGAAGAAGCTGATTCTCATGAACTTCAGCTTTTTCGAAAGTCTTGATGTTTCGTTGAAGGGAGTTTTAGATCCCTGGCGATCTGGTTATATTCCGAACATATACCAAGGAGATCCTGTCACCATTCACGCTATTTTGTTTTGTAATGTTTGTAATCTGGTGCTATGAGATTTAGCTGTGTGGCCCCAGACTACCGAGGCATTCAGAACAATTGGCCTGATAGCCATGATGTAAATATTCAATTTTTGTCTCAAACCCAATTTACTTCGTCTGTTTAGAAATTGATACAGGGCTCCAATGTCTCGATTAGCTTTCGAAACTTGCTGTTCAAACTAAACCTAAACCTGTGAAGACCACTCTTACTCATGACCATCCAGGACTATTCTGGTTCTGGAAGGCCTCCGCTCCCTTCTGAGTGCGACCAATTGTGTTTTTGCAGGATTCAATTTGATCTTCCATCTTAGGAAGTACTCCTGAAGAGAATCCAGCGCGCTATGGAGGTTCATAGCTGCTTGCTCGAAATTTGTCGAATATGCAAGAACTGCCGTATCATCAGCAAAAAGCGACATCTTGTACATTGGGAGCAAGTCAGCTCCGCCAAACTAAATGCCATTATTCACAATCCAGACTTCTTGCCAGTATTTTTTGTTGCAGCCAGCAGGGAAACGGCCTTCGCGCATGCGCTGGCCGCAGCAGGAGTGGCCCATTCCGTCTCTAGGGCGTGCAGGGACGGACAGCTGTCGTCTTGCGGCTGCAGCAGGATGCGCAGGCCCAAGGACCTCAAAAAGGAGTGGGTGTGGGGTGGATGCGGAGATAATCTCGAGTACGGATATAAGTGAGTATAGAAGTTGTTCGTTGTTCTAATTTGGACATGTAATGTGACACTTTTCTTGTCTGACGAAAGTTTTGAAACGGCTTACTTTACAGTTGTGTGATGTCAAATATTATCGCTTGGAAAATCTGAACTTGAGGCTGTGTCAAGTCATCCGTCTGACCACAGTGGTGATACCAGAATGGTCAATGGCTGACTCGACTCCCATCCAGAAGTTAACGTTTGAAACGTGACCGATAGTCCCAAACAGCTGGTTGGTTAGATTGATGGTCAGACTTTATACTGAACGTATATATACCCGGTTAACCCACAGACTTGACACAGCCTGAATCAGTCATTTTCCACTAATGAATAGTATATTACGTAATATGTGTTGTGGGAAGCATATTACGCACGAATGAAAAAGTTACGCGGAGCGACGAGTGCAGAATTCCATGAGTGCGTAATTGCTTTACAACACGCACCACGTACCATACTTTACCTACTGCCATATAGTACATCGAAAAAGTTTGGACAAACAGTCTGAATTATAATTCTTGGCAGTTATGTCATCCGGTGTTGACGGCGATTACGCGATCATGACATACCTATACTGGCGTGATAAACGAAAACTGTGCGATGTGCTCACTGTGCGCAAAAAGCAACTTACTGAGGCTGTATCTCGTATGTTCTTGCCTACTTTCCATAGTGGCCGTGAGTAAAATATTAAACGAGTCTATCTCGAAGTTAACTCTCAGAATTTTGTACATACAGTGTGGAGACTTCAACTGGAAGAAATTAGCGGGAAGGTTAATATTTTTTCTAAAAATTCTCAACGTACGTCGACGATTTAACGTATTTTTCAAATGTAACCCTATGGCTTGTGACCCCTTATTGAAAAGCTGGTGGAAAGAAGAATCCAGCATACTAGTAAAATTTTAGGTTTTTATTCGTTCAAAGGTAGCATCAACACAAAATTCAATTTTGAATTTCATTTTACGTATCTGCAATCGCTCAAAATATGTGTTGAACAATTGGTGGCAATTTTTCACCACTACTACTAACTGCTATTGAATTCCAATGTTTTAATAGAGCCGCAAAACGAAATTAGGTTTTTTGGGCATATTCGCAGTTTGAAACGAAGTGTTTTGCGAACTGGTGGATATGCCCTATATCACTGTTACTAAAAGTTGATTTTTCACTATGAACCCGTGAGTTTTCACGATAAATTGTCGTGTAGATGACTTTGTGTATTATTCAGTATTAACCACTGTACTCCATTTTGAGGAACGATAGACTTCTACCAGAGATTATTTATAAGAGAGATGTTCTGAAAAAATCACGAGAGCGTATGTACATTGTTTTCACCACGTATTCTATATGATCTGTTTCTTCATATTGAAGCCCCAGTTCATCAATATTTCTGCCACATTTTTCACTAACTGTTCGGTTTCCAAGTCTCGTAGTTTACAAAATTCGCAAAATTGGTTCCAAATGGAGGAATTTCTTCTGTTTGTATTATCTGGAGTTGATTTTTCAATCTCCTTTACTATTTCTGCCTCGCAAACATTTTCTTTGTCAAAAATTCTTCAAATAATGAAATAACAAGTACATGAAAGCACTTTCCCTCATGAAAATCATCCAGGAAACGGCCAGGAACCTGGAAATTCATTTGAGAAAGTACCTTCTCTGACGCATTAGAACATTGGTTCACGTTATATAATCTTCTAATTAATCTGCACAAACAAATGATTAGTCGAGCGAAAAGAAAATGATTTATACGACTGGTTAATACCAGCCGCCAGGTGTACCACTCTCGGAACATCTGTGATCTGTGTGTCTCCTGCGCGCTTTATGATTTACGACTGATTTTTTTTCTAAAAATAATTCATCAGAATGCCGTCGAGCTTCCAAGCTTTGAAGTTTTTGTTCAACCATGAAATGAAACCGTCAATCAGCGGGAAATACATCAGAAGAATATCACAAGAAGTGTTATCCGATATTTACTGTAAAATGAGACTTATCCCAGATAAGCTAAATAGTTCTCGACCGAGAATCGTCGGAGGATTTTTCAAGAACTGGATTCCATGTAGACAATGGTGACGGCATAGGACTAAAACTCATTTTTTTCTCATAATTCCTTCTCGATGAATGGATAATTGAACATTTGGTAGGTACCGATGAACAGAGGATTGCACTATTTCAATATATTTTTCATTTCGTGATGAATAAAATATATTCAAATTTGGATGAACTTTTTGCAATTTTTTCGCCGTCGTTTTATTTCCTACTATACTTTTCCATGTCCTAGTCTCGAATACTTGGACCTGCAAACGAGAACTATTGGATAAACTAATCAGGATGTGTGAAGAGAGGCATACAAAATTTAACTATATCTCAGCATTTGTCCGTAATATTTTGAGGTTGCGAAAACGTAATATTGGCAGGACGTGCTGTGTAGACGAATACAGTTGCAAGTGTTTCATTCTTAAATGCTGAGTTGCGCTTGAATTGTTCAGGAACGCTAGACTACCTACAGACTGGTTTCGAGCTATTTCTCTCATCAGTGCAGAGGTGTCCCCAGATGGCATTCATGCTCGCCATCTGATGCGAATCTGGTCCAACGTGAACACCTCTCAGCATCAAATACACACGAGGCATTCGACCACTGTGAAATGGGCTAGGGCAGAAAGAAAGGAACACTCCAAGACTGAAATTCCCATTTCGGATGAAAAAGGAAAAAGTCAAAATACTTGAAGTGGAATGAAATGGTCACAAAAAGGGAGAAACCCAAAGTCAGTACCTCAATAGCTCATAAAATGAACGAACATGGCTATATGCCAGGAAAGTTGTTGTTATTCTCTCGTTATCTACCATTTCGTTCGTTATTGTGGTGATGACTTCAGGTTTCTCGCTCTTTGTTACCATTTCATTCCACTTTGAGTATTTTGGGTTTTTCATAGTTCACTGATTTTTGTTCTGAAGAATAAAAGTCTCCTTGACTTGAATATATTTTTCGAATCAATAGCCAAGGAAATCGGCACCTACCCAGCGAGCACAAAAACATCTCAGAGATGTTAAAAGTACGAGATTTCGAGACATTGAACCTCCACTGCGATGTTCTGTTCACACATGAATAGAACTATTATAGAACAGCCAATGTCCGCCGCAGGCGGCAATTATCGAGATGTCCTTGATATGTCACAAAACTACCTTCTCCTTAGTTCTTTTTAAAGCCTTTTCATGGACACAACAGAACATTTTCAACGCGTCATGCGCACATTAAATCGCTGTAAAAAAAACATTTTCGAGGTACTTTTCTGAAGCCTTGTGTCAAAATGAACTTTTGCATTAGGATTCCATTTCCCTTGAATGAAAAAATGAATTAAAAATAGATTGAACATAAAAATATTTTCTTGATATGAAATTACCTTCTTAATCGGTTTCTGAGTAGTGCTTACTACACACAGACATATAATTGGAAATAGGTTTCCCAATTTTTGAAATGTTCTCCACAATGCATAATTTTGCAACTGCGGAGAAGCTGTGTAATGATGAATTCGTACTTTTATATATTGATTACACTGAGGCACCGAACAACACATCTTGCATCTGATGGTCATTAATACAAACTAAATAAGTCTTCTAACACAATAAACTTCACCAAATTCCTTTCTGTTCGTTAGCAGCGTGATGTAAGCGTGACACGCTGCAAACGCGAATGCCAATTGCGAACAAGGAGAACAAAATCGAAAACAAATCAGATTTCATCGTATTGTGACGTAAGCATGAGACGTTGTGGTGGGGCAAACAAAGAAAGGGCACAAAAGAACAAAAACAATACTTCCAATATCCTTTTAAGACCTCTTTGGGAAGTGCATATTACGCCTCAAAAAAACATCCTCATGCCTACATTTCTAAAACATCCCAAAACATCCCAGGGATACCTCTCAGTAGGCAAACAAAGAAATGCCACAGAAGAACAAAAACAATACTTCAATATCCTTCAAAGACCTCTTTGGTCAGTGCATATTACGTCTCAAAATAACATCTTCATGCCAACATTTTCAAAACATCCCAAAACATCCCAGGGATGTTTGTGCTCGCTGGGTACATACTACTTCGAAAAACCGGCTATGTTACTTATTTAATGGGTCTTCTATCCATCTAAAGTCTTGACGAATTTCCGTAACTTTAGTTCGATAATAGGGGCCATCTATCAAAAGCAGCATCATCCAGTAGGATATTAGCGATTCGTCTCGCAGTCTGAATGACGTATATCGACTGGGGTGGCCGTGACATTTATTATAGGGGGCGCTCTAATCCGTATCGAAACGCGGAAACTAGCTGTCTCTGCCATGGAATCATTTTTGATTTATCGCCGTCGATCTGATACGTTAGAATGGATTTACTGTGTGGGAAATCTTGTTAGAATGCGGATAAGAAAATAGACGATAAAACTTGATTTGTCGGTGAAAAAAAAAAAAAAAGAGATCGTGAGGAAATATTGAGACTAACGAATTCACGAAACTCAACTATCTCCATACTTGTACTTCTTCTCCCCTTCTTTTTGTTCCTCATAGTTTTTCAAAATACCTCAAACTCCGTCAAACTTCCTAGATCTTCTGAAAACTTTCATGAGCCTGTACACCAAACTTCCCACGTGATGACCCCGTCGGTATGACTCCTTGGAATATTGAAATTGATAATGTTAAAATAAGGTGCGAAAAATGCCAGAGGTGGTCAAAATGCCTACAAAACTAAAACTGCACTATCTGAGGTAATAAAATCAGGGTGAATTTGATTCATTTATATCTTCAAATATATCCACAAAACCGAAACCGTCAATACCAGACAATAGAATTTCGGAAATCAAACTGTTACATTATCATATTTCAAACATAGTGACACTGACTATTTCAGTAAAATCCTCTTAAATATTCCTGAAAAAATATTTTCAATAATAGAAGATAAAATCTAGAGACTTTATATGAATGAACATTCTACCTCTTCCTACGAATATAGTAGGTACTCTTCCTTCTATTTTATAAATCTTCTAGGAATTTTACGTAATATAGGTGTGTACATACAGTTTCCCACCATCACTATTATAGAACCTACAATTTTCACCACAATATCTGTAGAAAATGCAAAACTTACTGGCGTGAAGAGTTCTTCAAAACTGGGACTGACCTCCTGAATCAGATTTTCTGAAAACTGAAATCAACTCTTTTTTCAGATTCACACAAAATTTCGTCGACATCAGAGAGAGAGAAAGAAAATTCAAAAGAGGTACGAGAGAGCAGGGTAGATTACTCATGAATCTACACAACAACGAAGCTGGTAGAAGGGTAAGTATTCCCCGACAGAACTGTTTCTAAGACAATTATTCATTCATGTTTGTGTGCGCCCTCTGGATGGAGACAATAGACGTTAAAAAAATCCTAACGAAATATAAACGCTTGTCCATAAATGGTAGATATCATACCAGTATTGTTGTTCTGTTAGAACCAATAGAACGCATAATGCAACGGTCCAGGTAGTGAACCCTGAGGCATACCATCAGCAAATTGATACCTTCTCCGATCTCTTGGAAGGTTAACAGACGATGACAAAGTAAACGAGGATATTCTATTTGTCGGATATCCATGTCCCGTACAAACGACACGTCACATATTTCTTCTTCTCATGTTCCATTAATAAAGTCATTATTTGCATTGAGCAAACCACTTTGGTTGATGAGCTGCCCACGATGTACCTGGCAAATACAGAAAACATGCTATGCTTGGTCGGTAAAATAGGTATCTATCATATAGCAGGCTCGGGCCCATACGATTTGTGGGGCCCTACGTTTGATTTCCTTCTCTTTCTTGTATTCATTCACCACATTTTTGATAGTTATTTATGTATTAAGGGAATTATGAGGGCCTTAATTACCGATGGCAAAGTTTGCGTCCCGAGGGCCTCTGGCCCGAGGGACAGCAATTGCCTGAGGTTATTGAGGCTCAGTAATTCCCGTGATACATAGATAATTTTATTTCTGACTGATTTCATTCATTAGATACCTTCCCGATTGGAAGTTAGACATGTTTTTCCGTATAGTTTCAATGTCATCAGAACGTCAGATGATGATCTTGACTACCGATCTATAACATCCCAAGGGAGTTATGACCCTCATAATAGATATCGTAACTATGACGATATAAGCTTATAATGTCACTGTCAGAAATAAAAATATTTATACCCTCCACTGCAACTTGATATTCTCATTGTCAGAGTGTAGAAATTTGAAAACTGAACGAAATAAATAAAATACATAGAAACCCTAATAGTCATGTTCCATTCGGATCAAAAGTCACACTTGACAGGTTATTACAATACCGTGCACGAAACGTGGATGTCGTGCCATATGTGTGCAATGCAACAGATAATCCGTGTGGTGGGAATAGTTTTACCTGCATTTTACCTGCATTCACAGATCAGGTTTATTCGATTTTCAATGATGTTCCAAATGCAGTATCAATATAAATACAATCACAGAGTGACCGATTTGTGTATTCTATTGAATCGATGAATAGATGAATTAATTTGGAGCAGGTGTCAGCCCTAATAGCAAATACCGCGCCAGTGCGTTGTGGTAACGGCCAGTGCCAGGTATAGAAAAAAGAACGGGAAAATGTTAGGTTAGTGAGCATATCAACAATAATAATAACGAGTTTTTATTTCTCCCCATATTCCACTGTGTTTGGCTCGGTAATCAAATGAAGGCAAAAAATATCGTTGTGTGAGACTAAAAAAGTATTGTTGGCCGTGATTATTCAAAAACAAGTTATCCAATCAGATCCTGAGAAAAACGAAAGAAAATAATGAAATACAGATCAAGTAAGAATGTGAATCTTGGAGGCTCTCCTATTCAGAACAAAAATATTCAACTACAATATATAAATGGTGTTTTAATATCTCCACCATGGGTATGAAATGCCAAATCTGCCGAAATCGGGAACAAATCAGGTATCCGTCTCAACCCAAATAACCGACCGTAACAATGTTGCTTATTCTTGATGACCCAGTACATCATTTTTAGTTCCTAGGAGGTAAAGTTCAACTTTAGCTACTGGGAACTAAAAGTGTTGCGTAGCAACATACCTATGTTTGTGTCAGTAATAGAAACGTCAATTCAAGAGCTGATTTTGGTATTATTAAATTTGTGACGGTTGCAGAAAAAAGAATTACATTCTAATGGAATACCTTGTATATTCTTAGGAATTCAGATGTTATTCCAGGTCCTGAGTACAAATATATGTGGATTTTGATATGCTTATTTCATATAATTATCGCTTGAAAACTCTCAATGTTAGAATAAATAAGTATATATTAGGCGCCCTTTATGATTTTTATATTATCTCTCATATTTTGTTCTGTCAGATTTTCACTATAACACTCTAATTATAGAAAAGTCCTACTACTTGGCTTTTAAAATTTTTACATTATCTGTATTATGAAGAAGAAAGTTACAGAATGGGAATTCTGGTGTGGATCACCCTGTATATTCTTATCATTCTATCAATTAAATCCGAAAGACATGAATTCATAATGGGAAAATAAAAATAAAAATTGTTTTCGACTCAATTATTACTTACTACACTAATAAATGTTACATCGACAAAACCTTGTTTATCGTTTTTTTTTCGTGTGGATTATCATTTTTCACGTGTCTTAAAGCCTTCGTAATTCGCTGTGAAAGGCAGGTGCGCATTTAATCTGTGGTTGCTCAATTGAAATCGAAAGTTAAATAATATCTTCGATAAATTAAAGCGTTCACCAATCTTGTTATCTGTCCAATAAATTGTTGCAGAAAAAAAGTTGATTTAATTGAAAATCTGCACCAGGTGATGTTTGTGTTTTATTGGAGATTTCAGTGCGGTTAAACCTTCGATGGTTGAACATTACACGATACCAAAGCCTAGGGGAGAGTCCTCAACAAGAAATAAAAAATAGTTATTTATGTACCAAGAGTGGAAATGTGAAAAAACTAATCACATTGATAAATGTTGTTTTTATAGAATACCAAATATCAATAGTGGAAAATCTGGGGTGGTTAAATAAGTTCTTCAACGTTACTAACTTAGCCTATAGAGAATCAGACCGATTATAAGTAAAGGGACAACATTAATTTAAGGTGGATTCATGTAAGCAAAATTTAAAACTTAAATGAATTTTAAACTCAAACCAAAAATATAAAACTATGAAATGTAATGTAGGTGCTCATGCAAGAAACTAAAAAACTAAAACTAAAATTAAAACTGAGAAAGATGGCCAACATTCAACTAAGAAATTAATTTCTTCCATAATTCACGACAACGCATGCGCCAAATAAAAACTAGCCGCGCTGGAAAAAGATTAAACAGCTGATGAAAAGTTATTGCATACACACCCATATATTTTCAATTTAAAATTCGTTCATATCTTAAATTCATTATAATTAAGTTGATGTTGCATGAATCCACCTTAAGTGGATGATATCGATGATACTTCAGTTTCTCCTCTATTAAGGGGTAGAAGACGAGGTAAATATTTGAAATTCCAGAACGGACTCCGTCTTTCTCACTAAATATCTCCGCCTCGCTCGTTCGATAGGCGCATCTTATTACCGCAAAGAAGACATACGAGGGGATGTCCAAGATTATTCGAGAGCGAAATATAGAAAAGTGAAGGGTTTTTCGAGGGGTTTTTAGATGCTGTGAGATAAGTTGCCGTGAATTTTCAAAGCTGCTCTTCTGTATTATAGTTAGAAGGGTCATTTTATATCATGAATGCGAAACTGCTATTTTTTTCTCACGATGATTTCATCAAAATTCTCTTGATCAATTCACCATATTTCTCGACTTTTGAGTGAAATAGGAATTTCCACAAGCATACAAGGATTATAATTATTGTTATCGAATATATTCATCAGTTTGCTGTATATTGAAAGATATGGGGAAGATGCTATTAGAAACTATAGGACAAATTTGATATACAGGGCAATTCATGAAGAGACTCACATAGCCAAATGGTGAATAAGGGAAACAAAACAAGTTGAGATTCCATGTATGAAAGATTCTGTTGGCCTTCAATAACGAAGATATTATGTGAAATTGCCATATTATGATTTCAATGGCCGACATTTCAGATATGATTCATCCCAATTAGGCAGCGACGTTTCTTTATTCAAGATGGCATATTATAAAAGAATCAGATCCGAAAAATTCATGTTCTCTTGTTATATAGAAAAAGCTCATTTTGTGATCAGTTTTCTAGAAAAATTTCATCAGATTCAGGAAGATCAGACATAATGCCATAAGAACTGCTCTTCAATTTGCACGACACACTTTGATCGGTTCATTAAAAAATATGAAACAAGAACGTTCGAATGAATTTTCAATTTGAACCTAGCTGATAACTCTCTCATTTCAACTGGATTCATGTGAATTTATGATAGGAATCGAAAGATATAAGTAGTTGATAAAAAACCACAGAACTGCTTTTTTGGTGATTTGAAATGTTCGTTTTTGATCGACATCGTGACTTGTTTCTCTTTACAAATATTGCAAATATCAATGAAGTCATAACGAAATAGTATAGGCGGTGTTTTTCATCATTTGACGTGACGTGACATCTGTTGATATTCCGAAAAGATGGGTACTGGTGAAATTATGGCATGAAGATTTATTAGGATGTTCTGAATATTCGAGATAATTCTGTCGCTTCCTTGTTCGCGAAAGTGTGCTGCTGGGCAACACCACGACGAGTGGTATTTGAACACAATTGAGTTAACAATGAAAGACAGAATCATGAGAACATATTCAGAACGGAGTTGTAATTTGCTAGAGAGAGAATTTCTTATAAATGAGCGATTCATATTCTGACGACAGATATAATTATTTTATGCCAAACTGACAGTGTTTGCTGCGCTATCCATGGTTACATCTTTGAAAACACCAACGCTGATAGACTCGCTGATAGACCAATCAGAATTGAAAGACCGCTTGTGTTTTCGCGATTACACACGTTGTGATGTGATTGATCAGATTATGTAATAAATGAAATTTGTATATTGTTTAACGAGCACGGAATGATAGTGATTTCCTACGAGAATAAAGTTTGCAGCATGAGCCATATTGGCGAATGCTGCCATAATTTTTCTACGGCTATAATAGATAACAGCGACATTTTCGATTTCGTCGTCCTGTAGCCATTTGATTTCCTGTCAGGTAATGCTCATCTATTAGACAGCGGTGTCATTGCTTCACATTTGACATTCCATGAGCGATGAGATTTCTTTGAGATAATAACACAATGGAGTCATTGT